AGTGTGCTATGTGAAACATGGGTACATGTGTTATTAACATGAGTGTGACTGACATGTAGAAAGAAAGGTTGAATGAATTTTCACATTTTGAACATAATGAACCATTAAACCTGAACACATTTGATTATTTTACTTTAACACAATGTTTCTATAAAACCAGAGAAGATCAATTAGATTTTTGATTGAGTTATTGTTATTTAGGATTAGTCAAAAGTTTTATATTGATTGACGTTAGAATGTTTAAAAGCCTTTTAAAATATTTCTGCTTCAGTTTTAAAACTTTAGTCAGAAGTATTCAAACAGTTGTATGTTGATCATGTGACTTCCTGTTTGCTCTTAGCTTTCAGCCCGCCGCCCACCATCTTCCCTGGCTCAGCTTATCAGGTACCCAGAATGCACTGCTTTGGCTTCCTGTCTGACAGAGGTCACATGACTGCAGTGACTCTAACCTGTGAATTTATTGCAGCAGTTTTTTTACAGACTGATCTGTTTAACAGAAAACTTTGAACAGATAGATATTTCTGTACTTTATTAAACATCTGAAGCCACAGTTTGTTAAAAAAAAAACATCACCATTAATGATCCAACGTGTCAGAGTGATCATCTGGTGTTCAACCAGGAGAGAAGAACCATCATGTGATGATGATTCACATCAAAGTTTTAATTCATCCTGCAGACCTTCACAGGAGACCAGACCTTCTACCATCCAGGACCTGCTGGTCAACACGGGGCCTCAGTGATGCCACCAGGTTACCATGGAGACCAACATGGTGACAAACACCAACCTAAACACCCAGGTGAAGCCCCACCCCTACAGCACCTGCAGAGCTCTGGGTTTCAAGAACACACATTATGAACTGATGATGTCACTGAAAATAACTGAATATAGGCTGATGACATCACTAATGATAGGCCAATGATATTAATAACAAGTGATGATGTCATTGACAGTGTACATGGTGGAGCAGCGCCACCATCAGGGCAGGGGCATCGGGTCGTACCTGGCAGCGTGTTCAGCTGCTCTGTGCTGCTGCTGCCTGTGGGACCTGCTTCATCGCTAAAGAGCTGAGGCAATCATCATCATCATCCTCATTGTTATTATCCCATGTCTCATCATCTGTACAGCAGAGGACCCCCCCCACAGACCACCCACCACTTCCCCCCCCCACCCCCCCCCATCACCCAGCCTCCAG